TCATATCAGCAAGACCATCAATAAAATTGTAAAGATCAGCAATGTCATAAGTGATGTTCCCTGTAGCTGGATTTAGATCCTTAAGTTTCCTTTCATATAGTCCACATATCCCTGCACATACCAAATGGCATAAACCGTCAAACTTGTCAAATCTTTTTAGAAAACGGAAAGGAAGAAAAGAGTAGATTCAATCTGGTGACTCGTATAGGAACCACTCTAATTCATTCAACCAAATCATCCTGTTATAATTTAGAAATAAAAATAATTTTTGGAAATACATTCTAGAGAAAGAAGGATACATGATAAATCTAAAGATCATTCTAAACCCCATAAACCAACTTCTAAAAGTTACAATCCACAGCCTGCATTCTGTAGAACACTAAGACATCAGGAACTTAAATCCAAATCCAGCAGGCAGTCGGGTCCATAGAATCAGCAGATACTCATAATAATTGAAGATGAAAAACATCGAAAATCAAGACAACATAAGCAAACAATAAACAAAACATACCATCCATAGCTTGACTTATGGAATCATAATCCATAAATGTTCTCGTTGCTCTGCTCTGTGAAGTTTGCATCAAGATAATGGTGTGCCTGTTCGACTAAATTTCGCATACAAACAAAAAGAGGAGATTAAAAATACACAACTGACCATGTTATCCCCGTCCAAAAAAAGTAAAAAGGATTACTACTGGAATAGGATTGAGCGTCATTTACACGCCGGAAAGAATCGATCAATCTAACAAATAATTTGTAAAAAGGAAATCATAAATCGTGTAGTAATAATATAATAGGAAAATGGATGCGGCTCGGTAGATTTAAAGAACGGTACCCCTTAGATTTATATTGAAAATAAAGCATTTGACGAAACCCTAGATTCCAGAGGAAAGAACATGAAATAAAAAAAAAAAAAAAGAGATTTTCACAAGAAAAATTAGTTCAATTAAAGGAGAAGGGAAGAGAAATTACCATGTCTGCTGCTATCGTTTTCGTAGGTTGGAGTGGAACTGCAAGAGGAACTGCAAGAGAATCTGAAAACCAAAAGACCAAAAACAGATTCACGATGATCAGAAACCCACACCAGCACAAATAAATAAATAAAGCGTAAACTACATGAACGAGTCACTGATGTTTGAGAAATTTATCTTTTATCCACTAATGTTTCAAAACTAATGAGTTGATCACTGACTTTATCGATTTATAACAAATTAGTTATTGGAATGCTGATGTGGTGCTACAATCATCGTCTTTGTTCTTCTTCTTCTTCTTCTTCTCTTCGCCACCACCACTGTCGTCGCCTTCTTTGTTGTCGCGTTTCTCTTTCTTAGTTGCTACAATCTCAACATTCTTCTTGAGTTTGTCCTTCAAAGCCCCCGACCATTAACCTCCATATTCTCCTTAATTGTTCTATATTTAAGTATAACAATGGCATCTGCAAGGTTGGGAGGGAGTCGATCCATATATGAGAGCATTTCATTAATTGAAAGAGTAGTACTAACATTTTCTATCATGCTTAAGCGTCTACAAAATGACACCGACACTAGTAGGTAGTAACTAATTCAGAAATGAAAATAAGGAAATAATTTTATATGTTTGCATTCAAAGACAACATGCTCTATTTAGTATTTTACATTTCACATCATCATATTTTGCTACTTATTATTTTATTAGCTTCTTGAAACTCAAACTCGAGCGAATAGCAAAGGAAATCATTGTTGTATGAGTGGAATGCTTAAAACTATCTACCATTTTTATTTGTTTTGTGCATATATTGTTTGCAAACGGTTGATACCTGTTTTGGAATTATGGTCATATTCTATGGAGTTTAAGGTGGATTTGTTGATCTGGGCAAATGAAGAGGAGTTGAAGTTTCTTTGAATGCTAAGCTTTGGTTATCATGAAGTAATGGAGATCAGTTTGGTCATGGTCATCCATGTGGGTCAGCTGGTTGAAGAGGCCTACTCTAGTTAGAAATTATAATGAATAGTGCAGATTTGAGTGTTGTGGGTTCAGACATCTATAGTCGTACATTACTGCATCATGGTCATACATGTGTGCGAGTCATAAGTTGGTTGAGGAGATGGTGAGTCTGTGAAAAAGGGGGGACTTCTGTGGAATGCTGATGGATGCAGCGACAGTGATGGTGAAGGTGATAAAAGGAGTCGAAAGTGGAATGGAAGATGGAGAGATAAAAGAGATCGAAGAAGTTGAGATTCAGAGAGAGAATAACCCCTTTTTCTGACTAATAAGGATTGAAAAATCTTTTAATCAAATCATTCATAAAGTAATTAGAAAGTTAACAACATAATGACAAAAAAAATCAATGTATAAAATAAAATTATTAAATTAAAAAAATTTAAATTACACCGAGTAAAATATGAGTGATATGAAAGTTCATATATTAAATTTGTAATTTACCCTAAATAATTTTTTAATTTATTCAATTAATAAATTAACTGAACGTAGGGATTCAAATGTAAGATAATTATTGCATAAAAATAGCCTGAGTGAAAAACTAAAACATAATTTTCTAAAAAATATAAAATAAATATTATCCATCATGTTGAAGCAGATTTTTTAGTGTTAAAATAGTGTTTTTAAGAAAATTATTGTAAGCATTTTGATCAAAATAGTTTACTATATTAATTATTTAGATTAACTAATGAAATTATAAAAGTAAAAAATGAAATTATAAAACTAAAAAAATAAAATTATATTACACTAATATGTAAAGACTAAATCTTAAACGTAAGCATACTAGAGGGACCAAAACTGAAATTTAATCAAAATATGTTGTACAAGAAAACTTAGAAACTTTAGAGTTCAGAAATGTAATTGTTATAACACTTTTATAGGTCTGTTCTGCTTCTCCTATTCAATGTTCTTTAAGCTTATCGATGTTCAACATATATATAATGAGAAATATGAACAAATGATGCAAACTAAGTGCAGACCGTGGAAAACAGAAACAAAAAGTACATATCAGACATATAGCAGGATGGGCAATTCCATCTTTTTTTCCCCTGAAATCTACATGTATGATGTATCGACTTATTTATATCACGAGCAGAAGCAAATCATGTTAACGTGGCCTCGAGATTCATGCTGCGAGGAGTTTCTGAATGTCCTTCTGCACCATATCATTAGAAGAAGAAGAAATTAGTTCATCAGATCCATTCGAGACAAAGCACCAAATCACAGCAAAGAGTCGTGTTTTCATTTTGTGTCATTTGACAATAATGTTCAATATCTATTGCAGTGAGTATGAACTAGTGTAGGGGCACAGCCTCCTACCCATCAGCTAACAAGGTGCTACTACTTGACAGTAATCCGAACCCAAAATTTCAAAGGAATTGCATTTAATAACGGTATAGCAGCTTTCGAGTTTGATTCAAACATCGATTCCGATAACAGATGAAGCTGGAAAGATATAATCATTTTGGATGTTCAAAAATACCCCGGAAAGAGAAATGCATTGAATATATTTGCAGAAAATGTTTGATATCAATCAAATATCCAAAAGCCACCAGCGTTTCTCAACACTTATACCATTCAAACTGCAAACAAATGATTAACTCTAATAAAAAATGATCTTCAACACTTAACCTAGTGCTTCAAGCGTCATGAGATGAACTTGATCGGCAAAGATAAGAATAATAGCAGTAAACACATACCTCAATTTGGAAAGGCGATGTCGTTGGTTGATACCTCTCAACAACTTTGCCTTTTTTGTCCACCAAGAACTTCTCAAAGTTCCACTTGATCAAGTCACCGAAAAATCCACCAGCACTCGACTTCAGAAACTGGTAAACTGGAGCCGTATAAGGTCCATTCACATCAACCTGTTTCGCAAAACTTTGCTCATGTCCACTATACAAGATTGGCAAGGCCAAGGGTTTATATCTATCGTAAATGCTATGATCAAACAACAAAGCAGCTGGACTCACCTTATCAAATATTGGGAATTCAGCTTTAAACCTAGTACATGCAAATTGTTTAATCTGGTCATTCGATCCGGGCTCTTGTCCCCCGAACTGATTGCAAGGGAAAGCTAGAATATCAAATCCTGTCATGGAGTTTCATCAACAAATATTACAAAAACATGATGACATTATTAAGGAACAATAACAAATAACAGCTATAACCACAAAATAACAGTTGTCCCAGCATGAATGCTTAGCTGACCTTGATACTTGTATTTCTCATATATGTGAGAGAGCTCAGAGTAATTCGATGTCGTCAAACCACTACGAATCGGAACGAAAATTATTCAATCAGACCCCAAGAGGAAGAACATAAAATAAAACAGACAAAAGCTCAAAACAACAGTTAAAATTACTGTAATTCATATTGAAAAAAGAGGGTTACCACTTACCATCTTGAAGCAACATTAACAATCAAAAGAACTTTTCCCTTGAATTTGCTAAGAGGAGTATCCTTCCCATCAATATCCTGCTCAGAAAGTGAGAAAAAAATAGATCCATTGGTAAAGTTAAAAGCTATTACCAAGTTCTAATTATTGGCAACTCTGCAGGATTCAACAACGAAATTGGAAGTTTTGCTCAATGAAAACTAACTTTTTAAACATTTTAATCTATGAATTTTAATTTCAGAAAGAAAATAGAAGAGTGTTCCCCCCCCCCAAGATTGTACCTTTACGGTATAGTCGTATAGGGTTTTATCAGTAGCAGCTCTTGCATAAATCCCAGAAGATCTAGAGTTAAAGACAAACCCGGGAACAGTAAGCGGCTGTAGCGAAAACCCAGATTGGAAAAGAGCAGATTTCGAAGAGCATAGCGAGGATTTGATGGAGAAAGACATGGAAGGGCATGGTGAAGACAAAACTGGGTTCTTTTTGGTTTGAGTAAAATCAAGAAGAGGAGAAGGAATGGTTGCAGAGAAAGCCATGGAAGCCATAGTTTCGCCCTTCCTTTAACCTTTGTGTCTGTCTAATTGCCTCAAATCCAACTGGTATGGTTGGAACTGGGTATCGAATGGCAACAAAAAGAGCTGTGGACCAGTGTAAACCATAAACTGCGAAGCTAAAGGGTACTTTGTTTATATGGATTTTGCAGTGGAAGGTTAAATTCCACGTTGATTTTTCTCATTCAAACCCGTAATGTTTCTGTCGATGGTGCTAAACAGTATATGTTTAGGGTGTAGGTTTTGCTGGATCGTTTTGGCCCATTTTGTAATGGGCTATAAACACTATATGATTAGGGTTTTCATGTAGGGAATCTATCAGTGAAAATATTGAATGAAATCATCTTGGCCGTTTTCTCCCCACTCTCTTTACTGTTCTTCATCTTATTCTTCTTTTGATTTTCGATTCTTCTTCTTTTCTTGCTAAATCACGATGGTTCCATTACGTTCTATATCATAAGTGTTTAACCGGCAGTGATGGAGCGATGTGATTAACAAAGGGTCCATTTGGAATATTCAGAACCTTCATGGTTGGCTTGGTTCCTGAACTTCCTCTAATGACTGCCTGATACGGGGTTCTAAAAAGATTGAAACTTGTTTGTTATCAATCTCTTATTGCCTGGTATTTTGAGTGAAATCAGTGTTTCTGAATGCACGTGAAAGAGTTGATGTGATTATTAATGGCTTTTCTAGTTGTCCTAATTCTTGGCAGAGCACTCAAGTTATGTGTAGCTGCTGTAAACATGGACAAATATCAATTATGCAGGCATTAGGTGGGTGAGTCATTAGTACTTGGACGCCCATAAAGAAACTGCATTACATTACAGGTCTCTTATATTGTGCGATCATTTATATTTACGGTTATTGTCTTGTATAGTCGGTATAAAGCTTGAAGTTAATGGTGTTTTAGTTGTCCTAATTCTTGGCAGAGTACTCAAGTTATGTGTAGCTGCTGTAAACATGGACAAATATCAATATTCAGGCTTTAGGTGGGTGAGTCATTAGTATGTGAACGCTCATAAAGAAACTGCATTACATTACATCAAATCACATGTCTCTTTTATCGTGTGATAACGTATAGTTGCCGTTATCGTCCTGTATGTTATGACAGTGAACAAACTAAAATGTTTGACGTTATGGTCTTTTAGTTGTCCTAATTCTTGGCAGAGCACTCAAGTTATGTGTAGCTGCTGTAAACATGGACAAATATCAATATGCAGGCTTTAGGTGGGCGAGTCAGTGGTGCATCAACGCCCATAAAGAATCTGGCAATACATTACATCACAGGCTTTATGATCCCGGGTCTGTCATGTTTAGACTTTTGTCGACTTCTAATTCAGTATCGTATGGTTGTTGATTGGTTCATCATTACCCATCAGTTACTTGTTCATGTGGCATCATTTCGCCTTCCGGATTGTTTCTTGTATTGTGACTGGCTGCAGCAGTTGGTGCACTGCACATTCAATCACGGGCAAAGATGTCCATGGAACTTGCAGTTGATTTGGTTCATCAGTACTTCCGGTCATATCGATTCGAGGCTGCAGGAAACAAAGAGAAGGCTCATGGTTCTATTAAGTCATTTGAAAGGATTCATATATGGAAATATCTCATTTCAATTTTCACCTTCAAGGTTTCGATGTATGTCACGACGAACATTGTGTTTCCTCATGTATTATCGAACAAAATGATACCATGGAAGTATGATGTACCGAATCCATTGAAACTGAATCAAAGGTAGGGGAAAGGCCAGAAAACTAGTATTTGAAGTTGGTGGTGTAAAGGGATATGGCAAAACTAATGAATAAAATGAATCGCTACTTATGTAGCAGCTCAACTACATATAAAAATATTCTAATCAAAACCCCAAAACATCTCAAAACAACCCCAAAACCATAGCACCGAACAAAGTCACCAACAAACCAGCCTTCAATCCTGCACCACCACTTGTCGGAGCAATGGCAGGTCCCTCGAATTCAGCCGGAGAAGGTGCAGGAGAGATTCCAATGCTCCTATGCTTTTGAGACAGCACCACCACAACCATCTTCTGGCCTTGCTCGCAGTGACCCTTTGCTCCGCTGATGAAGAAAAATGGTCCAGACCTTTGAAACTCCACCTTGGTGTCTCCATCTTTGTACTCCGCTAGTGGCTTCGAGGTGTTGCAGCTCACGTAAGCCTCCTTCGTCACTTGCAGCACCGAGTCTTTGCCGCCATCGTATTTCCACACTGTTTTATTAATAAACACCAAGACCAGAAACGAAACTGTTAAACAGTATAATATAAGAGAAAATTGCAGAGCATTGAACAGAAGATGGGATCAACAGTCGTACAGAGAGAGTCGCCGATGCGAAAACGAGCTTTTTCAGCCCATTTGTTGAGGGAATTTGATTCAGAAGATGGGATCTTCCGAGCGTCCGTTTTGCCGCCGACCAAGATTTCCTTGGCATCAGTGAAGGTTAAAAAGAGAAACAAAAGAGCCAAAGGAGTGACCTTTGTTGAAGGAAAACCAGCCACGGGGAAAATGAAGGTTTGGAGAAGGTGAGATGAAACCAAAGGAGTTTTATGAGAGGTGAGTTGGGAGTTGAGTTAGAGTCAGGGTGTTAGTGGATTTATATATATAGGTGAGAATTGGAGGGGGAAGCAGCCATTACAGTGGGGTCAAAAAAACTCGATCTGACCGATTCATCGTTGATTCGATCCGAAAATTCGGATATCTGATCCGTTTTTTAATTTTTGAATAGTTCGGATTGAATATCCGATTTTTTTTTCGAATTTTTGGATCGGATACGGATCGACCAAAATTCAATTTCGAATAATTCGAAAACCCGAAAAAATTTGGGCTATATTATTAGCCCAGAGTTGTTTGGGCTATATTAATTTTCTGGATGTATAGATTTATGGATTCTAGCTTGTATTTTAATATGCATGTATAGATTTCTGGATCTTGTATTTTACATAGCTTGAAACACAAGTCGAACAAGGTTGAAAATTATATTTTTTTCTTGTCCCATCACCACAAAAGAAATTTTACATGTATGATGTGAATCTGGTACCGAGGCTGGTAAATGCATTTTAGAATGAACAAAGTTGTTGCCGATCCCCGTTCGATTTCAAAAAGTTACAAGCTTACTTGACTCGTACCTTGTGGAAGTTTCAACAGATTACTACGTGAACCCTTCAAAGTTTGCAGCATTAGTCCTCCTACTGCCAGATTCTACAAGAGAATCCCATGATGGCCTTTTTCAAGCCATAGACATTTATCTACAGGTATTGCTATTAACTTATAAATTGTTATAAATGCAATTAATTGCTTTGCACAGATTCTGCAAGAGAATACCGTGATGGCCTTTCCCTAGAGCTCAATCAATTCAGTCTTGTAAAATTTAAGTAAATTCATTTCATGTACAAAATGGTAAGGGCAAAATTGATATTGTAGCTGGTTAAGTGTACATGCTATTCTAATTTGATTGCTCATACCTGAATGAGATCACTTATTAGTTAGTATTGGGACCAATGCTAATCCAATATCTCAAGTTTGTTGACTGATGAAATTTCTGAACAGGTTCATGGAGGAATATGTGAAGCACAAAAAATGAGAATTTGCAGTGCACATAACTATGCAAACCTCTCGACGGATGCATTGAGACACTTGGCTCGGAACTCGAAATTTCCGTCAAGAAAAGCTATACAATGTTTCCTTAAAACAGTCGAAGCTAGAAAACTTACTTGAAGGACAAAAATACATCGACACATTTAGCGGTTCCATCTCTACCAAGGAAATCATAAGAGCTAGTAAGTGTTTCTTATTTGATTAATACTTTTATTATGTTGATTTTTTTTTGCCAAAAAAATCGGATTCGGATATCTGATCTAAAATTTCGGATATCTGAAATTTTGGATATCCGAATTTTCGGATATCTGATTTTTTAGATAAGATATGATCATTACTTTAGGTATCCGAAAATTCGAATCGGATAATATCTGATATCCATAATGCACACCCAAATTACAAGGATAGTTTTAATGGTGGGAAATGAGTTATCTGGGATTTTGTGTCACTCTGACCTTGACCCTTCGCTGTTGTAACTAGGGCTGTAAATGAGACGAGACAGATCGCGAGCTACTCGAGATCGACTCGATCTTGGCTCGATAAATACTCGGATCGAATGGATTCTACTCGAGCTCGAACTCTACTCGAGTTCTTAACGATCCGAAACGAGCTACTCGATATTTGACTCGAAAAGCTCGGGAGCAGCTCGAAAAAATATTATATTATAATTTTATATTTTTAAAATTATATTAAAAATATATTAAAAATACATTATTGATGAATAATATTCTTGAATTGAAAATGGTTAAAATTATTTTTGAATAATATCTTATATTATTTTAAATTGATAAAAAAAATTATTTCTCTAATGACAAATATTTAATATATTTCTAATGAAAATTTGTAATAACTAATTTTTTAAATTGTTGTTATTTTGAGTTTTGGGTTCAAATATCATAAATATCAAGGGTTTAAGCATTTAATATCAGATATTATATTGTACTTACCTCATAACTAATTATGTGATAGGTTTAGGGTTTAGGATTTAGAGTTTATGTGATAGGTTAAGGTTTAAAGTTTAGAGTTATGGTTTATGTGTTAAGGTTTAGGGTTATGTATAGGGTTTTAAGTTATGTCATGAAGGTAACATACAAATTATGCAAAAATATGGCTCATAAATAAATTATTCACATACTTATACATAAACATATCAACATGCAAAATAAAATATACAACTAATTAAAGAAAACAATAAAACAGAGACTAAATTAAGAAAATCTAAATGTGAGACTAATTTAAGCTAAAATTTAAATAATTGAGGGATTTTGTACAAAACGCATAAATCTAGAGTGCCTAAGCTAATTTACCCCTAGGATCAAATTCGAGTTTGAGTTCGAGCTTTAATCGAGCTCGAGCTTCAATCGAGCTCTTGAATTTTTTTTGAGTTCGAGCCTATTCGAGTCGAGTTTTAAATTATTTCAAGTCGAGTTGAGCTTGAAAATTTTAGGCTCGCAAGTTTTCGAGTCGAGTCGAGCCTACATTTAAAGTTTTCGAGTTCGAGTCGAGCTCGACTCGGCTCGTTTACACCCCTAGTTGTAACGGTTGATAATCAGCATGAAAGAGAGAGAGAGAAATGGATATAACGGCATCCAAGGGCTATGTTTGAATTTAATAGATTAACACGCATTATGATTTTTTTAACTGATATAATTAAATTATAATTTATTTTAATTTCATTATAAATTTATAATAATTATGTTTATATATAATTTTAGTATATAAAATGTAATTTATAATTTATATATCAAACCTATCCACCAAATATTAAATACAAAAAAAGGGGGAAATGGAATCAAACTTATCCACACAAAAATGTAATTTATATATCAAAATTAAGTTATATAAATAATTATCAATGAGGATTGGTACAACTCTTTGTTTATGCATAAAATCTTTGTTAATAGACTCATTGCACCAAAATTAGACATGCAACACGGTTGATCTAAATTAATCAAGATAAAATCTTAGGAATCTGGAGAATAACCAAAAAATAATTATATAAATAGTTTATATTAATTACTTAAAAAATTAAAATTATATTTTATATAACAATATCATTAACGAAATGTAATATTTTTTTATATTTGTATTATAATTTTATTTTGTTTTATTTTATTTTATGTCATACTGTCAATGAATTTATACATCTAATAGTAATATCAAATTTAAAATTTTAAAATCCAATTTTTAAGAAGTATTTTTTCACATCACTAATAATACCAACCTGATTCAAATGAAGCAAATTAGCATCTGGAATGTATCATTATTTGGATAAGAGTTTTGTTATATCCTTTTTCAGAAATTTTGCATACAAGAAAAGCTCTACCTTAGTTCAGTAAATAAAGGCAACCTGCGATACAACAGAACTTTTGACAAAAGAATCACAAGGTCCTCTTAACATACACCAGGAAGAGGGGTATTCTACAATCAACTCGGTCCAAAAAATGAGCATTAAAGCCTACATATGAAAGCATGATTGTCTCTTAATCTTCAACCATAACCTAACATAAGAACAATAATCATAAGCCCAACCCCTGTTTTACACATTTAATCAATCTTAACAGATGAGTAGATGAGCCTTGTGAACCAAAAGCATGCGTAAAATCCAATGGTTCCCGTTAGCACAAAGAACGCATATGAAGCAATTAGCATGTATCCAAAGTAAAGGAGCCCGGAAATCAATTTAGTGATCTCGAGCTTTGTGAAGAAGTAGAATGTGGCATAGAGGAAAAGGTACAAGGCCGAGGAGCCTGATGTGAGATATGACCTCCACCACCACAGATAATCTTCACTGCATAACTGGAAATAGCAAAGCACAATGGTTATTTCAGCACAAGTGATAAGGAGGATAATGAAGACCAAGAAAAGGAAACCAAAGATGTAGTAGAATTGATTCAGCCAGATTGAGGTGAGAATGAAGAACAGCTCGATGAAAACGGCTCCAAAGGGAAGTACTCCTCCGATCAGAATAGAGAAAATCGGGTTCATATACCAAGCCTGTTCAGGGATTTGCCTTGGGATTTTATTCGTCTTAACAGGATCTTCCATTGCTGGCTTCCTGAACCCAATATAACCACCCACAAAAACAAGTGGAACTGATATTCCGAACCATAGGAGAACCAGAGCAAACATTGTCCCAAAAGGCACAGCCCCAGAAGACTTCTGACCCCAAATGAGAGCATTTAGGACAAAGAAAATGGCAAAGACGATGGCTGGGAACATGACTGCAGTCCTAAGAATTACTTTCTTCCACTCAGTTCCTTTAAACATTTTGTAGAGACGGGCAGAGGCATAGCCGGCAAAAATACCCATGAAGACCCAAAGTAAGAGCATAGCTGTCATAAGACCACCTCGGTTCGATGGGGAAAGAAATCCAAGAACAGCAAAGATCATGGTTACAAGTATCATGCCCAAAAATTGAACACCAGTGCCCACATAGACACAGAGTAGATCAGAATTAGATGGAGGCCTGAAAACATCGCCATGTACAAGCTTCCATCCCGTCTCTTCTAGGGCTTCTTCCTGGGTTTCAAGTTCATTATATCTAGAAATATCACGGTATAATGTCCTCAGCATAATCATTGCTACCATGCCCGAAAGGAAGAGAACAATCATCAAAGAATTGACAATTGAGAACCAGTGGATTTGGTCATCATTCATTAAAAGATATGCATCCCATCTAGATGCCCACTTCACATCACTCTCCTGAAAATCAACAGAAGAAAATATAAAAACGTTAAAACCTCATTGGTAACGTTTCCAAGTAATATTTCATCAGCCAAATTTACTTAAATACAAATGATTCACACAGAAGGGGTTTGAGCACATGGTTGACACAGTAAAAATAACCATGTCAACCACAAGAATTAATTATACTTGAATATCTGACCTGGTAATCAACATCATA